AAGAGGGAGTTTCTGCTTCACCCTGTTCTCCAAGCGTTTGCAAAGCTTTAAACATAATGGAAAAATTCAAGAGCTGCTTTCTTTTTTTATTCGTCACAGCAGCCACTCCTTGTTTCCCTGGACTCCGAACATGTTCAAAGCAATGACCATGCTTATGATTTTTATCAGGAATCAAAGTGAAAATGGAGCTTTCCCTGCACCCCCCACCAAGCAGCACCTATGGTATTAACCCAGGCCTGAGCACTTCATTTACACTTACCTGGCCACCAAAGGAGGAAAGAGGTTGAGAGGAAGGCTAGGAGAAGCCAAGCGTAAGATCAGTGGAAATACAGACCACAAAACTCAAAATGCTCCTGACAGGAATAGGTGGTGGTGCACATCTGCATTCATACTGCTGGCTCCAGGGAGGGACGTGTTTGACTCAGCCAAACCTCAAAGATGGCCTTGGAGTTCCACAGACACATAATAATGGCAGAACACAGTATGCTTTTTTTTTTTTTCTGATGCTATGTAATGCTTGGTGAAGATCTGAGAAGCGCCTCAGCCATGCAAGTAGGTATAAAGGTGTGAGGAATTGGCATGAGGTGCCAGCCTCGACCAGCGGCCACAAAGAGAGTGGTCAATGGCTCAAAGTCTACCCAGAGGCTGGCTCAAACTTCTGCTCCTCAGCCTTGGCACCAAGTACACAAACCAGGGAAACCTCAGAGCCCACGTGGTGGCATGGAGGGAGAAGCCAGAGCCAAGCCATATGGACCTGGTCATGATGCCCCTAGGAGGACTCCCAGCCCCAGGACTGGAGAAAGCCATCATACGTCACTCAGGCAAGGAGTGTTGGAACTGTCCAAAGGCTCAAAGGAGCAGCAGCAGTGGCGCTGCACAGGCATGGGTCCTGTCTGGGACACCAGCGGCATCTGGGATGTGGGCTGGAGGTTTTCCGTACCACCCCCAGCAGTGACACAATGACAACGGGGTTCCTCAGCAAAGGCAGCAAAGTCCAAGTGGGCAAGGAAGAGAGTCCACAGGAGGAAAAACTGAGCATGAGATCAGCAAAAGGCAACTGAGAGGAAATGAAGTGGCCACAAATACCGTCCCTTCTGCATGCCAGAGTCACAGGGGAAAAGAGACGAGAGGGATCCTCTCGCTCTTGCAGAGCATGGGAATACCCAGTGCACGGACGGGCAGGTGGACTCGCATCCAGCCACCAGCTTCTTTCAGCTCCATCTGCTGTGACACCTTCCTCGAGAGCAAATCTCAGGACGCGAAAGCAGGTTGCAGCGCAAAAGGGACAGAACCCCAGAGCAGCTCCGATTCACGGAGAAAGGGGCTGTAAGGGGAGGAGCTGGGTCCTCCAGCATCTGCCCAGCAGGGAAGGACTCTCCCTGGTGTGTGGTTGTTTTTTGTCTTCTACTGTGAGATCACCAAATCAGGGATCTTGGATTCTGGCTGAAGAGCAAGTATAGCAGGTGATCCAAAAATGCCCCAAATATTGTGCTGGCAACAACAACCTTCCAGAAAAAGACTTGGTGTGGTGGAAATACTGAATTTATCCAAACTGACAGACTCCAACCATTGCTAACCTTTCACACTGTATCTCTTCACAGCAAGACTTCCTTCGGCTCTGTTATCCACCGTCCCTTCTCTTGACAAAACTGTCACCCTCCAAGTGAAAAGACACTGCAAGAGCCAACACCAGGTTACTCCATCTGTTCGTAAGTACTTCTGGTCCTGAGCTGCGGTATGACCCACAATCCCTGCCAGTCTGCTCTGGCTCTCCCCTCACTGAGCCGGGCATCCTGGGGTCATCCCATCAAGCCAGTTGGGGCACCACAGGCACTCACGGCCAGCCCCTCTCCCCCGACTCTTCTTTCCCAGTGGGGCTGCTGTGGCCTGGTCCTGCCCACCTGCCTGGACAGTCTCCAAGCCCTCCACGGCTTCCAGGCAGAGGACACACATCGCAGCACGAGGAGGCTTGGCAGTAGGAATTACCCAGGACTTGGTACTCTTTTGATCACCTGGACTTTGCAGACATTGACTGCTCTTACAAAAATAAAGAGGCCTGCAAGGCTGTGAGCACCAGCTGCCCTTTCCCCAGAGAGTGGGCACGGCCAGCTGCCCTCCTTGCAGGGACGAGGTGTCCCGAGACACCAGAACTTCCCTGTGCAGCCAACAGGGCTCACCTGAGAGGCACCCCAATAGCACAGAGGGCTCATCAGTGTTCCAAATAAAGAAAATACATCCAGGTCTCCCTACACTTTTTTTTTTTCCCCTTTTAAATTTAGCATAAACAGTTTCAAAGGCTGCTTTTCTCCTGCATAGCTTCCTCCACCTGGAGGAAGGCCTGGGAGCCAGGTATTTCAACAGCTTTTAATGAATCTTCCCATTCACGCCTGACCTTACAAAATGAAAATAACAAGGTCACAGTCGCATCCTAGTTTTATTACAACTGACCTGCAGGCAAAAGGATAGAACTATTACATAAACACTCTGATCCATGTATAATATCTCAAATAGAGGAGGAAGTCAAACCAGGATACCGGATAAAATATTCTGAAGCTCTTTGAAGCAGTTATGTTCCTGAGCTCCATTTTACAGACAATAAGGCAACATCCCTGCACATCAGCTTTTTGATAATTTTTATACATTTTTCTATTGTACAAGAAAAAAAAAAAAAAAACGAGTTCACAATGTACAGTTCTTACACTATTTTCACAGTTTCTGAACACTATACACCTTTTTTTTTCTTTTTAAATAAAGATACATTGTAATAAATGCTGCACCCTTAGTAGTTTATAATAATTCATGTTTAATACGCTAAATCTGTCCTTCTGAACAGCCACCCATGCCACAGAACCTCAACCCTGACTTTGTCACTGGCAGCTCAAAGCTTCACGTTTCCATTTCCCACCCGTCGAAAGCAAACTGTTTGTGCTGCTGAAGACGTGCTCCGGACGGGGTCGGCACCAGAGAGCAGACCCCAGCCAGACCAAAATACCAGAGCAAGGCAGTCGCTCGCGTCGGAGGGAAACCCATTTTTGGAAGCACCCACCTCAGCGTCAGCCCTCTGAAAGGTTTCTGGGCTCCCTGTCACTGCAGGTGCGATTCAGACTTTAACGTCTGAAAGGTGGGGGCAGAGACAGAGCACCCCTGCATGCGGCTGTCTGTACTGGATCTGGGTCTCCCCACTCCCCCAGCCAGCACTCTGCGAGACCCGGCAGGCCTGAGGTCCCGTTACGGGTGGCTGAAGGCTGGTGAGCTGTGCAGACCTGCCAAGCCTGAGAGAAGACGAGTTTTCTGAGGCTACGGGGCTGGGTGGAGAATTACCGCTTTAGATACGCTACTTATCTTGTTCAACTGACTCTTCCACGTGATTCACCAGAGCTGTTGGGAAAGGCTAGTTTCTCAGAGAGCTCTGCCTTGCCCGTTTTCGGAAGACTTTAGCGACTGCCTCGCCTGACAAGCAGCCCCGGAGGAGCACAACGCAGGCAGGGCAGGACTGCACCTCCCTGCCCAGCCGGGCACGCTGCGCCCCAAGGGGTCACCTTGGCATCGGCCCCGGTGCCAGCGGGACCAGCTCTGACAGGCGAGGGACAGAGGCGCAGCGCTGCAAGCCTCACACAAGGGTGTCACCTCTGTGGCTGGAGAAACACCAGGCGTCCGCACCAGCACGGCCTCGGCTCTCTCCTTTCCCAACCAAGCAGCTGGGCCAGGGAGGCGCTGGTCTCCAGCGCTCCTGCACCACCCCAGTTTGCGCTTGGTAGCACTGGTTTGATGGGGGAAGCCCTTCCTCGAGAATCCTGCCAGCACCACTGTGTCTTTGGCCCTCTGCGCCCTGGGTCCGGTTTTGCTCTAACCACACTCCAAGTCCTACCAAGTGCCTAAACCAGATGACTCAAGATGGAAATCGGAGACTCTGCAGCCTCCATTTTATCCCTGGTATGCTACTAAAAGCCTCAAAACGGCAATGTTTTGGAAAAAAAAAAAGTCTCCTTGAAAAATTAAAGATGCCAATTTTAAAAAACCCAGACTGATGCACTTTTTTTGCTCAGCAACAGGCCAGAAGATGACAGCTTGTCCGGCCTTGCTGGGTCAGCTAAAAGCGCACAAGACGCTGGACGCTCGCTCATCTCCACCTCATCTCTACCTGCACCAAACCATCTCAGCGAGGTTCGCTCCAGGGTGCAGCAACAAGAGCTACGGAGGGTGACAGGAGAGGTTAAATATGCCCAGAAGGTGGTGAACCAAGTCTCCAGCAAGCTAAGCAGAACGCGGTGTTTGCAGCAGCGGGGCGGCGCAGAGCCCCACCGCGGCGGGGCCATCCCCACCATCCTGCCTGCAGCGGCGAGAAAGCAGCGCGGAGGTTTGGTCTTGTGAGGGACACTGGGCCCGGAGGTGGCAGGGCTGCCGGGCTGGTCTCGGGGTCAGTGACAAGGCTGTCGCATCAGCGCTGGGGACAGTGAAGAACATGAGAAATATTGGCTAGAAATCCCCGGCATTTGTTTGCGGCTCATTAAAACAGCTGCAGCCTTTGTGAGCGGCACTTGTCGGAGTCAAAGCAAAGCCAGCTGGTGGTGAGCGCTGTGCAGCTATAAATCAGGTCACAAGCAGGTTAAATTCAATCGAGTAGTTTAATAATTCTTCAGGTCAAAGGTCTTATCTTACCAGGTAACAATTTATAGGACACCTAGTTAAGAGTGAAGAGTGGCTGGCTTGGTAAAAGGAGAAAGAATACATTATGTCCCATCTCTGAACAGTTTAATGTTAGCCTCTTTCAACGCAACATATTTTTGGTAAAGACATATTCACTATATTTAACATGATCTCTCTTTAACAGGAAGTTCAGCTGAGCACACTGTCCCCAGAAAAGTACACTGCGACTGTAAAGCAACAGAATTTCATAGCAGTAAATCTATTGCACTTTGTGAAGAATAAAATTCTCCTTTGCCTTTCTAGCTCCAGAAGGCAAAGCATCTCGTTGGTTAAGCAAGTTCTTCTCCCTCCAGGCAAAGTCTCTTAAGGTTCAGACAGACAACGCCTAACTTTTGTTTGTTTGCTTTTTATTATTACTTGAAACAATTGGAAGAGTTTGAGAGAAAAATCTTTCCAGTAGCTGCTGAGAAGTCTCCAAGTTTTGAGTCTACGAATTAATTTTAGGTGCTATCCAATCACAGTCAACAAATAAATGTACTTATTTCCACATTTCATGAATATGTCCACAAAAGAGCAAGATGAGGTCTCTCTTTGACCAGCACTAACACTGTGTGATCAGGTATTACAGGGATGCACTTTATATGTGACAACAGTATACAGACAGGATGGAAATAACACCAATATTATTGCACATGGTGTCTGGGCGAGCATTAAAAACACTGCAACATGTGATGAAAATTCTTTACAGCTTGTTTTCTCTCAGCCCTTTTTCTAGAGTTTGATGTAGCAGCAATATCAATCGACGTACATGGGAGAGCTGGGAGTTGCTGGCATTTGATCCAGGATTTTACAAACATAGCATGCAACATCCACTGTGCGTTCCTCATACATCAGGATGAAGGGATGTTTCTGGAATCAGACAATAAAACAACAAGGTTATGTTCGCCCTCCTGACACACGCTGGTTACCCAGATAAAAGCTCAGCGTGTGGATCTGCCTGATGTGAGAACACAGGGCTTGGTGGTGGCTGCAGGACAACAGGGCACAGCCAGGTCCGTGGCATTCACATACAGGGGATCTGTATCTTCAAGGTGCAGTACGGAGGTGGGACAGGACTCCAGCGTCAGGAACTGCTGGGCAGGAGGCAACAAGGGTGCAGTGTTAGCAGCACCTGGCTCCTTCATAGCACGGACATGTACCGAAATCCTTTCAAGAGAGGTTTCATCATCAGCCTTGTCGGCAACGGGGAGACAGGAGTGACAGGGAGACACGGCTCGCAGAAGTCAAACAGGAGATCAGGACCCAAACCCGCTTCTCCTGAACTCTGACCCTCTGCCCTGCCCAGGAGGCCACACTGGCCGGACCCAACTCAGAGCAGCTGGAAGGTAACAACAGGGTGACTCTCCGGGCCAGGACACCAGGCAAGCTCCTTTCACACCACACCGCCATCAGCAGGGACGTGGGGCACGGTTTCGCTCACACATCCCCTGAAGAGGTGGCTTCCAGATGCCCGGAGCTCCCTGAAGGTGACGGCTGCCAAGTGTGACTCACGCGACCCAAAAGCATCACTGCATTCCCTCCCTTAGGGCCTCCCCCACGGACAGGCTCTGCTGGTGTCTTACTCCAGAGCCGCGCTCTTCAAGGCCTCACTTCGGCCCGAGCCCTCCCAGCCCTGTTGTGTGACCTGTGCCTTGGCGGCATTTACACAGGACAGCGCTGGCCAGCAATTCGGCAGGGGTCCGGCGTGGTTCCAGGACCTCCGGCAAACGCGGCACTTCCACGGTACACCCAGCAAGCTTCTGCCCCAGCCTGCCCTGGTCAGGGATCACTGATCCACTGTAACGGGGCATTCCGCCCACGCTCATCTCCCGTGTACGGACACTAATGACCATCGCTATGGCGCAAGGCCAGAGACAGTGGCACAGAGGTGGCACTCTTCCTCAGGCTGTGGCCTGAACACCCTGCATGGATGGCCCGGGAAGACAAGGAGTGACCTCAGACATGCAACCCAGCCCCACTGTGTGACCGGCAGAGCGGGCAGCCACACTGCACACTCACCAGAAGCTCTTTATACTTTGGCCTTTTGGACTCGTCCTTTGTAAGGCTAAAGGAAGCAGAAAGAGAATTAGAAGAAGGTGGGACTAAGGAAATTGTCACAGACATCAAATGCAAATTTTTACAGGACACGATGTTGAACCCACTGTTGTTGCAGGTGTCAGTCAGACAGGCTGCCCCCAGCCCCTCCTGCACAAGCACTGCCCACTCCCCACCCAAGGCCAGAGGCTGTGCCCTGCAGAAAACCATCTCCAGTTGGTAAACCTTACCCGGTCACGCAAACTTCCTGCCATGGGTCTTATCGTGCCTCTTCTGAGCACGGGCTCTCAAGAAGTTTGCTCCTCATCCCTTCCCTGAAGAGCAGTTTCCCAAGGTCTGCCCTTCAGCCCCCACCCAGATCAGTCTCCCATCACCTCCAAACCAGTGAAATCCAAAAGCTCCTCACCCTCACGTT